CGACGGGGGAGCCGGCAAATACACCGAGTCCGACAACGGAAGGTAAAATGCTATTAAAATTGGTTGCTTTCACAGCCAAGAAATTATTATTCATTACAATAAGGTTGATTAATGTTTCTTTTTCCTTTGAAGTAAAACTATAACAATAGGCTAAGCTACCTGACGACATTAACTTTTAGGCTGATAGGGTGATCTTCATTCAAACAATTAGATTATTTGCTTTCGCAACTACCTCGCGATAGCATTCTTGAGATCATAATCTAATTGTTTAGTGGATAGAAAGTAATGTAGCCGTCACATTTTAGAGTACATCTTGTGAAAGAACACTGTTGAATCTCTAAACAATCAATAGTTTTCGACAATTTTGATCTAAAAATGGTGCTTTTCAGAACGTTGTATTTGAATTGCCTCATTACTTTACTCATATTAGGACCGATGCAGCTCATGTATCCCTACGGTTCTTCCGCTGGTGATTCGGAAATTCCAAACACGTATGAGTACTCGTGGCAATGTTTCAAGATCGACATCCCGGACGATGGAATGCAATTCTTCGGCAAGCGTCATTACAAAGTCCACGTACGTATATATCTTCTTGCATTCGATTTCAATTAAGTAGTCAGACAATTACCTGACAACCGTAACATGACTGTGGATTGTGATGTCGCTTGCCTTGTTACCGTTTTTCTTGAAGATGCGAAGGTACCCTGCTTACCTTTTCTAAGAAGTTAAAACAAGTTGATTTTTTTCTCGAATCGATTAATCGATTATTTTGTAACCAATTCAAAGCGTTCAAGACGTATTTGCCGATGAAAACTAATAATAGTATACCTAATCTATCAGGTCTTTCCCACGCTTTTTTGGACAGTCATTCTTTTCTAAGCTTAATAGGGTGTGTTGTAGTAACATAACGCAATTAACTTGTAAGTTCTCTCCCAAAGTAATTCTTATTGGAATCAATGCCCATAAGAAAAAAGCCGGGTTTTGCCAATTAATTCAAAACTAACCCAACCCTATTCTCTGTTTAAGATCTGTCGCAACGGATTGCTGCTGTTTGATTCACAATGGCTTCCCTGGTGGCCTTACAATTTCGGGGAACGTTGGTGGCTCAAGAAAGAGGCAATGTTGGCGCCTTATTGGGGTTTGACGGATACGGACGATTCTTTTGTGATTCAGGGCTTTTCTAAAGTTTACTACCACGTGTATTCAGATTCCGACCCAAGTTCTACTCCTTTGTTGAAGAGGGCCTCTTCAGACACAAAGAGGCTGTTGTCGACTCCTTTGCCGACCGCCTTCAAGGCATCATGGGTGCTGGTGGTAACGTGGAAAAATTTACGTCCGTATCAGTACCCTGCTAATATGGCAAACCAGGTAAAAGTAATAGCTAATTTTACGAATGCACAAGATGTTCCCCGGGTCTTAACACAGCTACGCTAAGATTGTACTGAGGCAAGAGCGGTACCTTCTCTTTTAAAAGAAGAATACGTGTTGCGAAATCAAGTCTGGAAATTGTGCCTAACAGTTTTAACGAGAATCGGAAACAAATAAGTTTCACAGAAATGCAAATTAGTGTGATCTCCCGATATGAAGAGATCTCTCAGAAAAGATCTAGATCTTTGCTCAGAAGCCTTGTCTCTATGTTCGGGGGTATTAATCTTATGCTGGATGGAGGAAGAAACTATACACTTGCTAATAAGTTTATTTAAGAAATGCATTTTCTAATACTTTAAAACCCTGAAGATATTATATTTAACACGGCACCATGAACTTTACTCATTTTATATAATAAACAGCAAAATGGTGTTAATTATGAAGTCATCTGGGCGTTTGTCCTCTAATACATCATAAGTAAGAACCAATCAAAATTCATCAATCAAGTTCAATTCCTGGTTATTACTTATCACATTGAATCCATAGGGAAATACGTTTCAGTTGGTTTTGATTACAGATGGAGTGTACTCCTTCACGATGTACAATTATCCAAGCAATGGTCTGCAGTGGTCCGCTCCAACCCAAAGGTTTGCTAAGTGTAGAGGTCTTCCTTATTCAGAGTTTCTTGAAAAATGCTGTCTATGGAAGAAAAAGCTTCTCTATTTGCCTATAAGCTGCGCTATTTGCACACCATCACGTTAGTGCCCTTAGTCCTCCTGAGCTCGAAACCAACTCTCTTTGACACAATTCGTCAGTGACAAAACCACTTCCAAATGATTAATTAAAGTGTAATGGTCCAATAAACTGGCATCATGCATTCCATTCATATTGGTCGAATTGCATTAAAACAATACATTTACTTTTACAATTCTCCATCAGCAAATTGCATGAAAAATGATCTCGCGACCAATATGTGGAACGAGAATACGCTTCCTTGTAGTAGACAAAGCTCAAAATCAGTTATACTTAGGACTCTTTTAGGGAATGTAATTATCCTATTTATGGTACTAAAACTAGGGTTCCCCCGAAACTTGAGACGTCAAGTTAATACCAAAGGATCTCCTCGAAATTAGAAGTTCTTTCGATGACCAAGACACTATTTGTTTTCGAAGGAGCTTAAACATAGACAGTTATTCTATTGTGAGTCAGGAGAATTTAATGGACTACTGCTTGATGCAGCAACTGACTCACAATCTGAAATTAGAACTCTGTTCATCTCTCAACACAGGGTTATTGTATGAATTATACCAGCGCATTCCAATGGGTTTTAATGTCAATATGTCAATCAGTTAGCAACCTTATCGCAGTTCAATGGCTCAACGGCTGCCTTTACCTAACTGTGCAATTTTGAAAGAGTCGTTTTCAGTTTTTTTTTCGTCTCCAGATGAAAGTAATAATTGTATTTCTGTTGCAGGATGTACTATCGATATTATTCCAACTCATATGGGTTGCCTGTGGTTGGTTGGAATGCTGGAGACAAGGGAGAAAGGAAATATAACATGCCACGGTAGGTTGTGTTGTTAAGCACAGAGCTATATCTTTTAATTGGGTGGTAGAAAATCTGATCGATGGGGAAGTTTCCCGTTTGTCTCTTTCCTAGATCGGGTACTGTCAACATAGAAACAATCGACGGAATAAGAGGTAACGCTGACATGGTTGGGAAGTGGTTTTTCAGACTGGAAGAATCCCTCGGGAAACTTAACGCAAGACAGGAGTGCATTGACTGGTTCAAAGCACAACCAGATCCTCGATTCTACACTGAATACATCGAACCTTGTCCTTGTGTCCTGCGACAAGCATGGTGGGACGAAAGGTTCACAGTGAACTGGAGAGACTGGCCAAGAATGTGCGGCTACGCTCAGTTCCCCTCACCACATGGGTGGGGCCAGGAATGTTGTTACTCCACTAACTGGCAAAGTTGGGGTGCACTGCTTGTGGGAAATACTGGTGGAGGTTCGGCACATAGATACCACAAGTTGACCGAGGAATTAAGAGCTAAACACGACTCAAGCGACGTACAAGGCTATCAAAAGTGCTGCGTCAACTCAGACTTGTGTGACTTGTATTACAAGAGACGCCCTTCCGATAATTGCGGAAATTATGTGGTACCAGAATGGAGTAAGGATTTTATCTAAAATATTATTATGCACACACACAACTTTTGCTCTCAGTAGAATCTTGCAATCAAGGCATTATGCTTGCCTTCCAGTTGTTTGCATCAAGATATCATTGATTTCACGAATATATCTCATATAATTTTTCTACTTTTAGGTTGGCTCTGGGGTGACCCTCATTTTGTCACTCTTGATGGCAAAAACTACACCTTTAATGGTCTTGGTGAATACATGATGACCGATGCTCGTGACGGATTTTTTCAGTTACAAGCTCGGACGAAACTGGCCAAAGGGGGCGGAACAGCGACAGTGTTTTCTGCTGCAGCTGCGAAGGAAGGCAATTCTAGTGTTGTCCAGGTTGAGTTGAACGATGCAGGTCAGTAACTAAGCAAAATGCAATAGTTAGAATGGATTACTTAATCTTCTGCCATCTGAAGGTTTCCTCGATTTTATCGTAACTTTTTATTGTCCGATCTTGTTCTTTTCTACGTACTTAAACAACCAAATTCTTGGAAATAAGTGAATATACATTGTTCTGTTGGTATGTGTTTTCGTCAAATGATCTTATCGACTAATTCTATCCACAGAAATAAGCTTAAGCGTGCTGATTGATGGAGAGTCCTTTAACTACACTAGCCTTTCAAACGAATCTGTTACACTTAAGGGCTCTGTTGCTGTTGCCAAACCAGACAACAACTCCTTTGTAATGGTTTTTCCGTCGGGGATATCAGTCACAGCGAAAGCTGTTTCGGGAGCACTTTCAATTGTACTTGCTGCACCAAAGAGCTTCAAAAATCAAACAAAGGGCCTGTTAGGAAGATGGAATGATGATCCTGAAGACGACTTTTTGACGCCTAATGGAACCATCTTGCCTTCAAACGCGAACAGCAAGGACATTCATTACAATTTTGGTCTCCTTTGTGAGTAAAGTTTTCTTTCTTATAAGTTCTAATTGATTTTCATAATGCTATTGTGGTAAGTTTGTCTAGGGGGCAGAGCTGATGCTTTAGTGAGAGCGCTGAACTCCCACCCTAGTTGCTTGGGTTCGACTCCTAAGCCTTCTGACTCATGTTGGTTGGGTTTGCTTTCGGTTGTCGACCTTGCTCCAAAAATTTTTCCCCAGGTCTTCTAGTTTTCCTCCCTCCGCAAAAACTAAAATTCTAACCTTAGTTCAACCCGGAAACAGTGGAGAAGTGGAATTTTCATTGCTAAATTTCCCTTCACCTATCATTTTTATTAGTTCTAGCTGTAAAGTGACTATTGTATTTGACATTAGCATTGTTTTTTGTTTAAAAAACTATATATCTTAATTGCTCGCCCACACCTTTTTAAGTAAGTTTCATTTACCTATATATGTAATTCAAAATTTTTGATAGTGTGCGCTTTGCTGCGAAGGGTCAGTGCCCTTTTCACTTAGTCGGTGAAGCAGAGGCAAATTCAATATTTTGGAAAAATCAATTTTTAGTGCTTCTCATAGAAGCTAACGTACTTCCAATCGACTACCTAGGACGGCAGGTTAAACTACCGTAGCTGTGCAGCTATAGGACGCCCTCGGCTAAAAGATACACCCCAACTTGAAAAAGTGTGGTCTTTTATTACTCACGGAACTGGAGTTAGTAATGTTCGTTATGCCATAATTGATAGCCGTCGAGGAGTTTATGGTTTCTAATCCTTTTTGCAATCCATAGATTGACAAAGAATCAGTTGGTCACATTGAAGCTTTTCCCCATTTTTCTCTATAATAGGGCAGGTAGACAACAGGTCCTCACTCTTTACATACAAACCAGGAGAAAGCCTGAAAACTTTCGAAAATGCATCTTTTGTCCCTATGTTCCTTGAAGATCTTTCCTTCCCAAATGACACCTTACGCAAACAAGCAGAAGAAGCTTGCCAAGGAGATCTCAACTGCTTATTTGATTCCGCCTCTACTAAGGATGTTTCAATGGGCGCAAACACAAAGGCAATGTCGTCCACACTGGAGAAAGAGTCATCTTCTCTTAGTAAGTTACCCCGTTTACAATACACGAGAGGTCGTCGGAAGTCGAGTTTTCTTTTCCCTTAATTCAAGGTTTTTTAGTGCAGTACCTCGTTTGAAGATGAAAAATGGGCTTTTTGACGATTCGGTAGCTGCCAAAACGCACTGAAACGCGTCTAAAAGCATCAGCGTCTTTAAGTTCTATCTATATTCTGCTCACAATGGTAGTATTTATGATACGGACGCTGGACCATTCGAAAAATTTCGTGACTATTGAACTAAGTTGCTTGTGCTTGGATTGGTATGTCTACCGACGGGTAAGCTGTAACACATATTTCGTTGGTGCCTTTTGGAAAATGGCCTTCATTTAATTCTGCTTATCTGATTTTTGACAACCAGTTTAAATCTTAAAGGGATAAAAAACAATGCACGTCTACTTCAGAAATCAGCCACACATACGTATTGTGCTAAGTCCATTTATACCAATAAACGTTAAAAAATAGCTCCCTTTGTTATCTCTCACGCTAAAAGACTTCAATGACTTCCACCGACGCTCAACGAACAAACAAGAAATGTTTCGATTTTGGACCGAGCGTCGAGTGTAACAAAGTTTTTTAAAACTAAACAAAATGAAATGAAATTTTCAATGTAACAGTTTGAAACATGTAAGAGTATCAATACCACCTTTTATTTTTGACAGAAAATTATCCACCCCGGTTCGTCACACAGCTCTCCCAAGTGAATGTCACTGTGAATCAGAGTATTAGTGTGTCTGTGGTTGCAGAAGACCCAAACAACGACACCTTGATATTCTCTGTTTTCGGCGTTCTACCTCGTGCAGCTATTCTACGGAACAATTCCAACTCTGTGACAGTCACGTGGAACGGAACTAACGAACACGTATTCTTTCATTGAATTCTGTACTGTATTCTATGAAATGCATTTAGATGCAAAGTTGTTTTTCTGAGCACTTGATAAATCGTATCATTCTTTATTTTATTCATACTCGCAATTAATCACTGTCATGATTACAGGCCGAGGCGGCCTCCACTCAGTACTATTACCACTGTTTATTGCTTGTTAGTTTTCATTTATTGAATTTAATTTTTTCACTACTAACATTATTTACAATGCAACATTACTTACAATACTAACATACTCAGAATACTAAAATTAGTTACAACACTAACATACCGTATTAACATCATTACTCACCAACGCTTTCCTGTTTGCAGATTGAATTAGAATTCGTGGTAACAGACGATCAGGGTGCAACAGCATTCTTGAGGCCAATCATTAATCTCTGTGCTTGTCATAACAATGGCGTTTGCCTTCATTCAGCCAGCAACAAAAACTCCACGCATAATAGCAACAAGATGAATGTACTTGAGTGTGGTTGTTTGAATGGGTATACAGGAACGCTCTGCGAGAGTGATCTCGACGCATGTGAAGCAAATCTAAACCCATGTTACCCAGGTGTAAAGTGCATCGACCTTCCTCCTCCAGCAAATATATCTGGCTACAAATGTGGACCTTGTCCGAATGGATTCACGGGAGATGGATCCAAATGTCGAGGTATCCATCATCAAACTGGATTACTGACATAGCTCAAAACATATATAAAGGCAAACGTATCCCTGATCCAGTTTCACTGTACTCCTTAAGTCAGTCAAAGAACCGACAAGAATAAGTTATTTGCGAGGGAAACAATGTCTATACAGCTATTTAGATATTACCTTAAAAGAGGGCTGTAATTTTGCGGAAGAAATAATGCACATTTTGTCGAGTACTTAGCTGACCTAGCTAGACTCTGCGTTTGTATGGTATTGCTACAATTCAGAGTTAAAACGTCATATGGGGCTGCACTTACATCGCAGCTCCATCGAACTGATCCCAGTAAGACTTTTTTCTCAAGAAAACTGAGTCCAATTGGTAAATAAACACCTCAGGCTCATTCAATATGTTATGCTCAAATTGTGTAACCACTGAAACCTCTGAGTATCCATTATAAGAAGAAGAAAGTTTTGATGTTAGCAGCACACAAATAAAAACATACTATCATATAATTATTCCTTTTTTCAGACTTTGACGAATGTTTACAAGGGTCGAACGGTGGATGCAGTCAAGTCTGTATCAACACACCAGGCTCGTTCACATGCGACTGTAGAAAAGGATACTTGCTCAAGATTGACCAGCGAAATTGTGATGGTAAAACACCAAATTCCCATGTTTTCTCTCATTTCATCTCTGAGTAAGCTACCATGCGTAGTGAATATTTTAGAGGACCATTGCGCGATAGAATAAAAATTTACTCGCACAAACCCTATACGTTTAATTATAACTCCTTATTATAACAAAGTTCGTATATAACACGCGCTGTCATTGGTTGAAAAAGCGTGCACTATCATAGTACAAGATAGAGCTAAAGCTGTCACGCCATCTTCCAAATTGTACGAACTTTTCCCGAACTTCTCTCTAGCTTTTTTTCGTTAATTGAAAGTGAAATTTCGGAGCAAACGCGACGGCAGGTCGCAACAGAAGAACCAAACAAAGATTTTTAAACATACCAAGCGCCATAATTTTCTTTGTTATGACAAAAGCAAAGACGAAAATCCTCAAAGAGAAAACGAAATGGACATTTCGAGTTTTGAATGTTTACACGCTCAGCTGGATTGCAAGTTACGTACGGTAATAAAAATTAAACACTGGTAACACTCGTGTAGTATATATAGTTTTGTGTTCAAAAACAAAACAAATGATGAAAAATATAGCTAAACTGGAGTAAGTTTCAAAGTTCATACTTATCATGACGGTGTCAGAGCTACTGCGATCATGCTGAGGTCCATCGAGGTAAGCTCATTGCGACAATCTCCGGTCAGCGTAGTGAATCAAGCCTCAGAATTTACATCGGCCGCCTTTCGAGTGAAAATGGATGGCGTTGTCATCCCGAGAAATCTTCATGTTCCAGTGAATTCAGCTGTCGTTCATTTATAAAACACACGCCTTCAACAGTTTGTTGCTTAATTTTCATGTGTGTTTTTATGAGCCACAATTCGGCCGGATTTCACTAAACATTTCCCTTTCAAATTTCGTATTAGAGACTAAATAGACTTGCGGCAAAAGTGCTAAATGCTACTTGCCGAACTATTTCAGTTTGTAAACTATTACGAGTTGTGAACTTCGATGGTTTGTGAACTCTGATGGTTTGACATTTTAGACAGCTTTAATCTTTTTCATCCAATCAGATTATTTGAACCATCCCAAGAAAGATTCTGATTGGCTCATTGTGGCGTGCTTTTTGAAAGTGTATAGAGCATGCTGTCGACATTGTTGTTCGCTTTGGAAATAAAGTTTGTTTGAAAATTTTGAAGAAATGCATGGGAAATTCACATATTTTTTATAAAAAAAAAATGAGAAGAAATACTCGACTACTTCTCGTGTTTGTCCCTACACTTCTTTCGTGCTCTAGCCGCTTCCTGCGTGCTTTACAACAGAACAGAGCACAGTCAAGGCTTCTCTATTTTTAACTCACTTTTTTTTTTAATCAGACATTAATGAATGCGTTCCTGTCAGCGACTGTATGCACAAGTGTGAAAATACAAACGGTGGATATCGATGTAGCTGTGATGATTTCTTCAAAGTGGACCCTTCAGATCCCAAAAATTGTATTCGTAAGTGATTTTTAAATTGCTTTACCCGCACTTGGAGTTAAATTACTGCATGGGGTGGGCAGTTTATGCTTATAATTACTAACGGAAGTCTACATTTCCTTGAAAAAATCTACCTAGTAACCTTGATGTACAAGCGATTCTTTTAAGATGTAAAGTCCATTTTATCTAGCATCTGATAATTACTGTTAGGGAGTGTAAGTATTTTACTTTGAGTTTCTCTTTGGTAACGCTTTGATCAGTTTTTCTGATAGTTTTATAATTATTAAGTTGTGTGGCCATTTTAAGCGATGTCAGAAATCACTGAGTGTATTTCTTTTTTTTAATGTATTGGCAGGCAAGAATCGTTTGATTCTGTAAACACTTTTTTTCGGTAAGCAATATGAAATGTATGAAAAAAATAATAATAATTATAAACCTTTTCATTTCAGCCGAATCTCCATGTCAGAAAGGTAAACATAACTGTCAGCACATCTGTTACCTTGGTTCAAACAAAATTCAACAATGTGCTTGTAGACGAGGCTATCTTCCTGGAGACGATGGGGATAGTTGCAAAGGTGGGTATAATTTTATTAACCTAAGAAACTATACAGGGCCAGTTGGTATACATTTAGAGAGTGAACAAATTCAATTGGATCTCACTTCACTTGGTTTAAGGTAAAAGAGAAGGGATTCGTGCGTATCTTATATACTGTTCGCCGTGTTCAAGATGGCACCAGATAGTATTTCTCATTTAAAAACGTTACCCTCTACATTGAGATTTACAATCATGTTGTAAGCTATGCTTTTTTTAAATAAATGGCCAGGACCTGGTAAACGAAGGATAAATAAATCAAATAAATATCAGGGTTGGCACCCAGTGTAAGGCGTAAGGCACTTTCAAATAGTACAATTTGTTTTCTTCAAGGCTAATGCCATAACGAAGGATCAAACGGCTCTAAATAAAATTTATGGCAAGCTTAATATAGAGAGCGAACATGCAACCATAAGGGAGGATTTTAGGTTCTTAATTTTTATTTTTTATGTACCTAAAGAAGACCAAAGGCTGTGTTTGATGTTGCTAGGGGAACTAGAAGTATATCTGACATAAAATGATCTACATGAAATGAATTGACAACTTTAATCAGTAGAGACAGCGGCGAAAGAACTTAAAAGTAGTGATTCCCAGCGCCTTGTCTGTGTTCTGTAAAACGTTCGAACAATCTGTCACTCCTTTATGAACGGTTTTTGACGGGTATTGTATGTTATTAATGCAGTGTTAGACTGGAGGATTGCAAGTAATTCTACTACTTACAGTTCCGCCATTTTTCCATTAGATATTGATGAATGTGCGGTAAATGAGAATAGATGCAGCCATAAATGCAACAACACGGAAGGAAGCTACACATGTTCCTGTGTGGACGGCTTTAGACTGGACGCTGATAATGTCACTTGCATAGGTAGTGTAAAGGCAGAATTGAGGCATTACCACGGAAAAAAAATTGTAACTCTCTCAATTGAAACGTTGTTTCAGGATGAGATGTTTTTAGAATTTTATCTGCAAGTCTAATTTTTCATTTGATCATTCCATGCACGAAGATAATTTGAAGTAAGTCAACTTGCTCAAAAACCATGAAATTTTCTTGCAATGTGAAAAATTTTCTGGGTTCACACATTCTCAAATATCACTTGTGTGTTACTCACTTTATCCTTATGTACAGTTCAATAAGGGTAGCTGAACTGGATCATAATCCGGTAATGCCGGACAGATTCATCGAGATACTGTGCTTAGTATGAATTTATGTACTTTTCCAATTGAGGCAAAGCAATTGGCATAATGGCGTGTTCATCGCAAATGTCGATTATCGATGTGCCAATGAGTGAGCGAGAGATAACCAGTAAGAGACTACTTCTCCCACTCATCACCCAAAAGAAAAGGGGAATCAAAGATTATATGATTTGAAAGGACATGTAATCACGATGGGCTTACTCAGAACAACAACGACTAAAACGGCAATGATGATTAGAAAAATGAAAAAAAATACTGAACGCCCTGAACTGCTTTACGCCGGCTAAAAAAATAAAAAATTTCTGGAAATTTTTTTAAAAAATTTTAAAAATGCTGAGCGTGCGAAGAGACGACTTTAAACATATGTAAGGCTTATAGAATAAGAAAGACAGTTATTTTTGAGCTCCGCAAAGAAAAAGAGAAAGATTTTTTTCGTCTTGTCACGGGCGTAGGACAAAGAAAAAATTCTTAGCTCCCATGAGGAATCGAACTTCAGGTCTTCAGATTTACATCGGAGCGCGGAATCCGGGGGTCTGGGGTTGGACTCCTCGTGGGACTCAGAATTTTTTCTTTGTCCCGCGCTCGTGACAAGACGTAAAACATCTTTCTCTATATATTAAGGCAACTTGGTTTTAATTTACTGACTTTAGTTTGTCATTTTAGATATAGACGAGTGCTTGGAATGGACCTTTAAATGTCAGGATTCGTCACAGCGTTGCAAAAATACTCAAGGTTCTTACAAATGCGTCTGTGAAGAAGGACTTTATTGGATTGACAATGCTTGCAAAGGTGAGACCACATGTATACATATCACCCTGATAATACAGGATAAAGTTAATATGCAATGAGTTAATGCTTAAAAACTCTTGTTTAATGAATACCAAAAACCTTTCAATGAATTTCTTCACAAAAAAAATTTTTCTTAATGATTTCTAATTTTCCAAAGGAAAGGTAATGTTGAGGTGTGTCTTATACCCCATTAACAACGAAAAAAATTTCAGTTAAACCGGGTTTTAAATTGAGAAAAAGAGATCTTAAATACAGAATTCTTACATAGGTTTTAAGTACTAACCTTTTCTTTAATGTTCTCGATTTGAATTCGAACACTTTTTTTTAGCCGCCTCTATGAAGAAAAATTTTAAACTGTATGTAACAAGACAGCTTTAAGACATGTTTAATTAAGCTTTGGCGTGAATGCGGTATAAGTTGCTCAAATTATCTAGACATCGCAAGAGATGTTGAACCAAAGTGTAAATAGCTTATTTGGAAGCACTCAGACTTATAAAATTATTACTCGTTGAGAGGAATTAAAATTTATCACTGTACATTAAATTAAAGTAATGAGCCTGAGGATAACTACTAAACGCAAATCATTCCAAGGGTACCTCAAAACTTCGATGTCGACTCGACTTCTCTTGTGATGATGTTACAGACTTTATTCATAACGTTTTGATTGTTCGTTCCACTCAAGGTCTGGGCAAGTATGAAAAACCACCTCCTCCACCGCCAGCACCGACTCCAAGAATTCCGTCCTTGATTGAAGAACGTCAAGCGATTATTATCACAATTAAAGGACTCAACTTATCTCAGGTATTGCCTTTCACTTGAATGTGATACGAATAGTATATGTTTAAAGTCATAATCAGATAGGGGATGTTAATGGTCACGTGGAAACACGAAATTTCCATTCTAATGAGTGAGCTAACCATACAAGTGAAAAATTTTTTTTGTGAGAAGAAACATATCGTATCTTCTTGTGGCCGTCTAAAATTCTTTTCATTACATAAAGACAGTGAAGACACTTCCATTTGCTCTCGTACATTTTTATTTTATGCGGTAATGCGGTTCATTTTTGAGAAGGGAAAAGGTTTGAAAAATCAATGAAAGCTAGGTTTTAAACTGCGATGATCAGAATTCTCGCCGGTTGTTTGGATGACAAAGTTAACGTCTCCGAGAAAAAAAAAAGAAAACTTGTTGCGCCTGTCTGGGTGCACGAGAGCAGATTAATTTCAAATTTCAAATATGTTGAATAGCCTTTAGGGAGCTGCATGAATACTGAAAATATTTTCCGAAAAAATAAACCTCTAGTTTTTGAAAAATGTAGGAAAAAATTTGTCTTTCTCATATATTTTATATGTATATATAATTCATATATTTATCAACCTTGTTCTTTTTACAATTATTCAGTGGAATCTGCCCTTAGAGCAAGTCTTCAAAGATGCAGTTGCAGATTCTGTTACCACTTTCTGTGGGGAAAGCAGAGATTGTGAGATCACAGCGCCTCGAAAAAGGTTACTACATCACTACTAAGCCTAAGCATAACTAAATTTTTCCACTAATTCCGTTTTGCGAGTAAATGAGATATATGCTCCCAAACCCAGTAACATTTTGTTAGAGCAAAAATTCGTTACTGCCTTAAAATTGACTGAGGCTATTTTATTGATTTGGGATAGCAACAGGGCTGGGATTTTCAAAGCTGAGTTAAGATAACTCCGGGAACGGTGAATCTGATGTCAGATCTGAAAGCTTTATAAGAAAATTCATCATCATTCTTTTTGACTACAATTTGTTGCTTTAATGCTCTAAAAAGAATAGAGAAAATTATCTAAAAAAAGCTTTTGAAAGGAGTCAAGAAACACAGATTAAATTTTAACCAGGGTTAGTGCTAATCAGTCTTCGAACAAGTGGGCCTAGAACTAGAAGTAAACTGCACATTTGACGACAGAATTCATTCTTTTGTCAACAAATAAGATGAGTTTTTTCAATAAAATCCGGTCATGGCCATTTTTCTGTTTAGTTCAATTGGTCCTCTACCTCTCTCAAGCTAAAGATGGTATGGTTTTGATTTCAGGAGGGCACTAGACTACATACTTTTCACGTCAGATCAAGTCCATCTCCTTCCAGGTTATCCAGAGCGAGCCCCTTATCTTATGCAGATTCGAGTTGCGATCTACGTCCAGTTTCCACCTGGAGTGGCTGGTGACTCTCCTTCTACCCTGGATAAAAACATTTTGTTGACAGTCATAAATTCATCTCGTGAAAATTTTGAAAAGGCCCTGAACGTGTCAGTTGTTAACCTAAAGATTGCGTACCTCGACCGTTCCACTGAGAGCAGTTTTACAGAGACTCCAAAAGTTCATCATGAAGAAACAACGATAGGCTATTTCATTATTGGTGGGGCAGCAGCTGGAGTTATATTGGCCATCATACTTTGTGTTTTGGGATGTTGCAGGTGAGTTTCATTCACGTTTGTCACTGGGTAACCAGTGTAAAATGAGAACCTAGTCTTATTATGCTATATAAACAATAGCCTCCATTTGTCCCCCTACGTCATTTGTTCCAAGATGCGAACAGTTTCCAGAGCGAAGCTTGACAATTACTGTGAGCTTCGAGGAACAGATAATGTCCAAGGACACATAAACGGACATATTTCGCGCCAAATGGATGCTATTGCGTTTATTATCCTTCGTATATTTCTGTAACACGCGTTAAATATGTTTACAAACAGCTTAGCGATTACTGCTTGAGATGTTTAGTTTTCAGTGTTCTCTAGTACGACTTTATGAACGAACAAACATATCCCATCATCTGTAAAAACAGGAAAACACTTTATCGTCTTGAATTCAATTCTGAAGAACGGCTTAATAGAGTTGATGCAGGGAGTGAAAATTGGGGAATATCAGTTGGGGTATATCCTCGGATTTCCAGAAGTTTAGCTGGGGCAAGTGATGCATTTTGACCAATCGCGTGCGTGCAAAATTTTTAAGTGATTGTAAACTATTTTCTCGTTTCATCACCGCCAAAAAGGCAATTGGTATTTATGTCCTTATCCTAAATAATTTCCTGTCTTACTCTCATCACATCGCCCTTTTTCCGATTTATCTTTCGTGTGTCGAGGTTTTTGAACCTGTTCAATATAAAACAGTTGTCGAAAATGTGACATCACCCGATACCGACAAATGAAGGACTTGAAATTTCATACAGCCCCAGAAAAGAGAAGAACACGTAAATAATCATATTTCATATTCTGACTGCTTATAACGTTTCAGAAAGTGCAATTCAAAGCAAGTGCTGAAAAGAAATAGGATTGCCTGCAACGAAGACGACGGCGTCGAGCTTCATAAAGTCAAGGGTCATTTCGACAATCACCGAGTGGAAGAAAAGTGTTATACTAACGAGCAAGCCTTTGACACGGATAACGAAGCCATTTAAAACTGCTTTAAGCTTAGAATAGCTCTTTTGATAGAAGCTTCAGGGTTTTAGTTGTTTAGATTGGGTAATTATGCAGTTATGTTCCTGATAGACTGATGATTGACATATATGTGCTAACATTTTTCTATGCAACCTTTTGGATCATGTATATAGCTCAGTAAGCAATTAGCGAGAAAACTCAACAAGGCGGGTTAATGAGAGAGTGGAAAGATTTCGAGGAACACCTTGGACTGTTCTTAATGAGATGGGTAAATCCTCTGCATTTAAACCTAAAGATCCAAGAAATACATGTTAGAAATAGCATTGCAGTGATGCCAACGGTTAAAGATATTAAGAACAGAAACCTGCTAACAGTGTTAACAACTACTCCACTGCTCAATTAACCGATTTTGTGCTACTAACGATGGCTTAAAATATAAGTTGAATAGGAAGGCAGATAAAAACGACTTTTAGCATCCATTAGAGATGCTTCGCCCATCAGAATCATAATTTAGGGAGTGAGAGAATTTTCCTTAGAGTGTTTTCTAAAACATAAAATGAAGCTGAAGTACGTAGTGTTTAATGCGTCGGTTCGACCTGTTATATGCTCATTTCGTTCATAAATCCGAGTGTCTACGTCATAAATTAGAAATTGTTATTATACCATGTCTATACGTGTGATTTTGGTGTTTTTTCTTTATTTTTGTTATATCGATATCCATGCTTTCGATGGATTTTTAATAAAAGTGCCTGTCACGTTAGTTCTAGAATTATAGTCTTACTAATACACAACCCATTTTAAGTCCTAAGAAAACACAAAAACAAACTAAACGCTCAGGGCACAGTTGTTTTAGGTTGTGGCTTGCTGGCTACTGATGTTGTAAAGCACTTGACTCATAATAAGAATTACATGTATATACGTATTATATACAATACACATTCGATTGCAAAAACGTTAACAGTCCCTGACACCTAAAAAGCATGAACCAATATAGATGATGCAACTAATGGTGGTTATCATACACATCTGACTCATAAAGCCGTAGTCTCTCATCTTTCAGTTTAAACGCTTCGTAGGTTTCAAAGTTTTTGCAATGGACTATATATATTCGTGTGGAAGAAGGAGAATAGGATTTTTAAACCACCAGAATTTATCTTATTCTTTGCAATTAAGTAGGGAAAACTTTGGGTGCAGTTCTTGCCATATCTTCCCAAGTGAGTAACGTCAACAAAAAAAAATTAATTCCAATGTCCTCCCTACTGAAATCTTGTACCGGAAGTAAAGGTTCTGCCGTTCCGACAAGAATCACAATTGTTCGGAAAATGTCACAACGATTAAGCAACTAGAAGTGATTAGATTTCTAAATCTTTTTGTTTAAATTCTTTGAGCTAGGCCGTTATATTAGGCTCCCATGGAGCAATAATGAGTGTAAGAGGTGACAGAATGCGCAAGGCCCCTGTGTATTAAAGTATTATGATTCCTATGTATTTAATCACCTTATCTGCTATTTTAGTTTGATAACTCCGATTTGAATGCCGATCATCGCGACCTTTGAAATTGACCATCCGTAAGGCTGTAATAGGGCGGGGCATACAAATACTCCGTCTTGCTTGGGGTTAAGTTTGCAATTACCCATAATCAGGCGATTCGGATTGAAATGACACTTCTGACGGAATTTTCTCTCATAACATATTTGCCAAATTTTAGCTAACTTGGATTGCGTGGAATTGTCAAAAGCAGCGTTTACTTAGAACCAGTGGATCCTCGGGGACCAACAACGTTAAGGTTGCCACCCTTGCCCAAGATAACACTTTACCAATCATTTTAACCTGTTTTCAAAGTCTCCACTGTTTACCAGTCTGATCTGTACTAAATGCAAGGTCAGCAGTAGCTAGACTTTACACAATGCGATTTAACCGTCATCCGTCAAAGGGCCTAAAATGCAAACGTTAGCCGTCAAAAATGACAAGTTATTAACGTCAATCATCAAAATAAATGGTCAATATTAATCGTCAGACGCGTAAAAGGTGTTTGGATGTCGCTACTTTCTCCCTTTTCGCCACTTACTGTGGACAGTTGAATATCTTATAAGTCATTTAAGGATCTTTTTTGGTTTCCATACATTCTCATTTTATGGTCATGTTTGCTGTTTCCTGTGAAATTTCCATTGGATTTTTTTACTTTGCCCCACGCTCGTGACAAGACGAAAAACATCTTTCTCTATTTCTTTACCCAGCTCAAAACTTACCATCTCTACTTATTCTATTTACAAACATGACGCTATCGACATTGTTGATCCTAACAGTATGCAGGACGCGTGTCACATGAACTTTGTAATAGACCCCGCTCACCAAACAGTCTCTATGGCTCAGTGGTAGAGCATCGGAACGCGAACTCCAAAGGTCTGAGGTTCGATTCCTCATGGGAACTCAGAATTTGTTCTTTATCCCACGCTCGCGAAAAACATCAATTTCAGTCTGATTTTCACTCTGACTGGCAACTTGACGATTTGCAATCTCATCGGCGTCTGTTGTGAGATCAGTGGCATTGTGGCACCTTGCACGCTCAGCAGGTAACTCAACTTCTAATGCAGTCTTAAGAACATTGTCAACATCTTTTACGAAATCACTTGATCAATCTGATATCTCAAGGTCAAAGTTTAAAATCTTTTCATACTTCTTGATATCTGCTTAATGTGAATAATTCTCTCTCAGAACCAGGAAGAAAGAGATCTTTGGATCCATCTTCGTATACTTAGTTATACGGCTGACTCTCCTCATATAAATTGCTATAGAAGTCGTTCCATTTCTCTTCTGCTTGATTGCGATGAGCTTTGTAGCTCACATTTGGCGACACTCATAAAGATAACTTCTTTCCTCTTTTGGCTTTAAGAACCAGCTCCTTTTCAATCCACTCCATAAGACCAACACTGATAACAACATCCTATGCTTTTTCCTTTTCTTCCTGACCAGTCTTTGAAACACTCGATTTTCATTCTTTACCTTTCACTTCTTTATAGCGGAGCTAATTATACGAAATAGTAGTGACCCATCAAGCCGAAAAAATTTGGACGTGCGACCGTACGACCGACCATACAAGGTGCTATTTTTAGCATGCGCGGCCAACTGTACCACTGTACCTCTTAGCCATTACGTAATGGAAGGACGAGGGAGAAGGTAATGCGCAGGCGCGATTGCGCGCGTAACTTGGATAGATGACAATGAAGTGCGCATTCTCGAGTTTCGAGCTTCAGTGTAGCGTACCACAGGCACACGGCTAGGCACTGCACGAGGGCTTCACGCGGGCTAATGGATGTGAGCCGCGTAAGCAACCCACGTTTTGAGCGCGATCTGGTGAGGTTGAAGTTGAACAGTAATTCTCAATTTCAATGAATTTGAAACTTCATTGTTTTGTCTATCGTAAAAAAAAGGCTTTTAATTAGAAATACACTTAATAAAGGTTTATGTAAGCTTTTAGTAAGGAAAACATCTTTTAAACTTTTGCAATACGAGTTCAAAAATGATGACCTGTTAGTTTGAATACCATGCTATTTTCAAAAAAGATTTAGGTGATGCCTTGCTTAGAACGAGCTTAGTTCCCTGCAGACAGCTTAAATCGTATTCTATTCTAAATAACATGTTGCTCTTGATATTTGTTGATTTCAGATGAAGTCTAATACAGTCAAACTCCGCTTATCCGGACTTGTAGGGACTGGAGTAAATAGCCCGGATAATCGAGAGTCGAGGTAGTTGAAAATATTAATTAAACGAGACAAAATGAAACTGAAACAATTTAGAAGTTGGAATTAAGGGTAAAAGCAATAGCTTACTGCATCGTGCCAAAATCTCTGGTCGAAACTTTTTCTCTTCGAAAGGAAACAAACCTTTTTCTATATAACTATAACTTAGACCTTAAAATCTTAATTAGAAATAATTCATAATCATAGTTTTTAGGGATCTTCATCATGCCTTGTAAATATTCATCAAAGAAATGGGACTAGACAAATAAATTCGGATAATCGAGAAGTCATGATAACTGAGGCCCGATTATACCAAAGAAGAGTATTGAGAATGTATACAAGCTTTAGGCCATTGCTGTCATAAATTGACAGAAATTGGAAGAGGCGTTGTCTCTCATAGGGAATCTTTAAGCTAAATGAAGGAAAAGCTCAAGTCAAGTAACTCGCAAGGTTCTTGCAGTATTTCACTTGATCTCCATCCAAAAAGCCCCTACCTTCTGTTTGTTGATCTTCATCCATAAATCCACTAAATATTACTTTCTTGACATTGAAATGGACCTACAATGCTCGAAAGATGATGGTAGATATAAAGACATGATATCCTGAACGTGATGGGATGCATCTTTTAGTAAGGGCTGCCAAGAACTCAAAAACCCACTCGCAGATTTTAGCGTTTCTGATAATATTCCTGGTATTCTTTTAATTTTCAAAAACTGCTACGTACTCTGTTCTCAAACGCCTCGTTTTGCAAGACATGCAAATTGACTATCATTAACATCTTGTGAAAATAGTGACAAATTTTGTAAAATAGTATTGATTTTTTTCGTTGTCTATTGTGACGAGATTGTTGTCATCTTGTCTTTCACACCCTTCGATACCATTTTCCCTCAGTATGTTATTAACACAAAATCTTAGATCTGTTGATAAAGATGCAATAAACTCAAATTGATGAAAGGCAATTTAAAGGCACAATATGAAAGATTTAAGCATGCGCTTTTAACCATAATTATTAGTTCGAAATATGAAAAAGAAACTCATATTTCACGGAATTTAATATAATAATAAGTCAAAGCATGACACAAACTAAACCAGACCTGTGTTTGTGGTCATTGGTACGTTTTGGTGTGCTGTCATTGGTGCGTTTCGATCCTCATTATTACTCTGACAAGCAGCTTTTGTTCCCCCACAGGTCCTCTTTGTTGCTGATCAGCTGTTTTGTTGTCTGATTGTGGCCGTCCTTGCTTCAGGTACTTTGATACTGTTATCCCTATTGATGTTATTGGAATGAAAGTCTTATGTGAACGCCTTTCTTGACCCTAAGGGTGTACCATTTAGGGTCGTTATTAATAAACTTACCCTGGTTCTAAACAGGAACATTTCCTGTTTCCACTGTTCTTTATTTCAGATAACTACATTGTGGTAAAAAACAAATTTCGAATTTTGCAGCCAATATATCTATTTACTGAATTAGGATAGCTGCCTTGAATCACTCGCTGCAGGTTCGCTCCTCTACTAGATGATCTACAAAATTTTTAGCCGCTATAGTTATACTGGGTTAGATTACAAACTGAGTTAAAAATGTCATATTTTATATCTAAATAACCCTTTGAAATGAGATGGTATAGTCCCCAAACAAATTTATGGTTAATGTGTCCTTTGTTCGAGAGGTAAACTCGGCTGTTGCATAAAATCTATTCTTGTATTTACTAGTAAATTGCGTGAGGCCGCATTTAGTACGTGTAACAGAGGTTTTGTTTGCTGGAAGCACCTCTTTGGTATGACTCTTATTGAATGGAGAGGAAACGGCCTAGTGTTCTCACTCCTTCTGCTGAGCAGTGTACAGGTTTGAACTGATTTTGCAACGCACTTTTGCGCAATTATTGTCTGTTTGCTGACGGTCAAATACTTCATCATTTTCCCTTACCATTACTTTGATGAGTTTGTTTGCTGACTCACCTGTGAGTTTGGTTACGTCATTCTCCCATAGGGGCAGAATTGTGCGTCCTTAATCTGAGAATATATGATTTGAA